TAAAATCCTAAAATCCATTAAAATATTAGACGAGTGAAATGACCACAATAACCCTCAAAAATCTAGATTGGACATTTTCTTATTCTAACAAACCGCATTCTAACGGGCATAACTTACTCATACAAACTTAAAATATTGTAAACTTGGCGGTGTTGGGAAGATAATTCCAAGAAATTTCCAACTATAAGTTAAAACACACCTAATGCGTCATGATATAGGAGTTTTGATTGTGTGAAATTGACCAAAAATTCACATTAACTTAATAAATTCCAGATTTCCTTTAACTTTCTAAATTTATCTATTTCCAATTTTTAAATGTCTTTCTTGTTCATTCTAATTGCATGATGTTACAATATATCCCCATTGGATAATTTTATTCTCGAATGATATTACTCTTACTAGGATTACGGTAGCAGCATCAAGTTCAAACACCCAACATGAAAATACAAACAAACAACATGCTTACTCAAAATTTAGATAGTACTAAGAACAAAATTAGTACCGTTGTTTTTCTTTAATCTAGATTCAAAGAGATCTGGATATCTCTTCTTCCAGCTTCCTAAGTAGCTTCTTCAATAATTTGGTTTCTCCAAGGACTTTGACTAATGCTTCCTTTTTTGTTCTCATTTTGCAAACACGACAATCTAGAATCAGAAAATGAACCTCGTCAAAATATTAGGAATCATTGATCTCAATATTTGTTGTACGTATGAAAAATGAAGTATCGGCCATGAACTTCTTAAACATGGAGATGTGAAATATAGGATATACCGATTCTAACTTTTGTGGTTGCTATTACTCACAAGAGACATTGTCCATCCTCTAGGATATTTTATAAGGTTCAATATACCGGGACTAAGGTTCACCTTCTTACCATACTTCATAAAACCCTTCATGGGTGAAACTTTTAGATATACACAGTCATCTACTTCAAACTCTAACACCCTTCTCCTTATATTAGTGTAGGATATATATGACGACTCTATGCCATTTTCAACATCTCTTGATCACTTTCACCTTCTCTACAGCTTGATGAAGTAAATATGGTACTGTGGACCCAATTTCTACAACTTCAAATTATGAAATGAGATAATCACCTTCTCGATAAAGAGTTTTAATATAAGCTATTTAAATTCAAGAGTTGTAACAGTTGTTGTAATAAAACTCATATTGAAGTAGGTTATCATCCCAATTACCTTTGAAATGATTCACACATGCCCACAACATATATTCTAATGTTGAATTGTGTGCTCTACTTTACCATCTATTTTAGGATTAAAGGTAATACTTAACTACACCTTTGAACTCAAAACTCAATGAATATATTTCAAGATTGTGCAGTAAATTATGCATCTCTATCTAAAATAATAGATACTTGAACTCCATGAAGTCCTACCACTTCATGAATGTATAACCTGAATTAATCTTCTGTTGAATGGTTAGATTTTACCCGATAAAGAAGGGATGATTCTTTTATTCTATCACGAATCACCCAAATAGAATTATGTTGTCTCCGAAACCTTGGTAAACTTGGGAGGAAATCCATATTAATCTATTCACACTACCATTACGGATGTTCAATATTATGCGACAAACAACCGAGTCGTTGGTTATCTACTTTAACTTCATGGCAATTTTGGGATTTTGCAACATATTTAGAAGGCCTTTCTTTATACTATTCCACCAATATAGTTCTTTAAAACCAGAATACATTTTTGTAGAACCCAGATGAATGGAATATATGGATATATAAACTTCCATTATGATCCTCTATTGGATTCTAACAACCATTGGTACAAAGTCTACCGATACATCTCTATACATCATCTCCATTTGTTCAAATGCTAATACTTTTTGCTTTTGAACATTTGCTTTAAACTCAAGAAAAATGGGATATTTGTCTTGTTTTTCTATAAATTTTGACACTAGTGATGATCCATCCCCATTCCTTACCACTATTCCTCATTATCTAGAATCCATAAGTTTGACTCATAAGAGTGCAATCTATGTATATGTTTTACTAACTCTTTCCTTTCTTCCTAAAAATAGGTTGCACTACACATAGACAACCTACTCAAGGCATCAACATTAACATTAGACTTACTTGGGTGGTAAAGTAATAATCAAATCAACAACCAACTCAATTGAATGATCACAATACAATATAGGTCAACATCACTACCTTGGGTTAGGGATAGAGGATCATACTGTTCAATTTAGACCAAACCATCAATAATTACCATAAACAAGTCGAATTACATGTTAATCTACTCAATATAACCCTATGAATTAATTAACAACTCAATCCATAACTTTTAATTGAAATTTAAGCCATAAATTCAATTTTGTAATTGAATGAAACCCATAAGAAAACTAAACTTTTTGAAATCTATTTTGAAGGAACCCTTTGAGGAAAGAATCTCAAAGGTGAATAGAACCCATACCTTAATATTTTGTTGATAATTGAAGATGAATCCACCCTTTTTCATCCCCCAAATCACCTTCCAAGGTAAGATTTTATGGAGTCTTCCAATTAGAGAGAGAAATTAGAGAGAAGGAAGAGTGTTTATTTGAGAGTTGTCTTTAGGTTAATGAGGGTTGAGGGTATTTAAAGTGGGGCTTAATCAACTTAATTAGTCTTCCTTTAATCTCAAACTAACCCCTAAACCACTCAATTAATAAAATGAAATCATTAAAAATTTGAAGTGAAACTCGACCCTCACAGACGAGACCATGATCAACGGGCCATCTTTGAATCGATGGACAAGCCCCCTTCCATATTGCACTTTGTAGTCTCACTCAAAGACTGTGTAGGCGAGGTCTTCATCTAATTTGTCTAAGTGTGGGACGACGGTGACATCGATGCCTCGTCGATCCACACACGGACTGTATCCTACACCTCTATACTCCGTCAATGAGTCCAAAGAATGTGCAGGTGAAGGGACATTCTCCACCATACTAAGTGTGGGATGATGGTGGCATCGATGCCCTGTTGATCCACACACGGGCCATATTTTGTCCCGTCGATTCACACTGCCAAGCAATGTTGCATCAAACTACAGGGGTCCTCTGAAAGGGCCCTTGGTTGGTCCTTGGGGAGTCGTACCCGAAAGTTTAAGCCATGGAACAACTCAAACATCTATAAGCTACCTTTCCACTGATTTTTGTGCATTTTTTACTCCTAAAAGTTAGTCAAAAAGGCTAAGACACACTAACATCACTTAGAACCAACTTCCCGAACGTTTTGGATGCTTTGGTTCTTAAACCTCCTTTATGACCTATATTCATTAAAAATGGACTTAGAAACAGTGTTTACACTTTAAAACACCTATGTTATGCTTCATAATGAGTCTTGGATTTTCAAGGTGTTACAAATAACCATCAAGAAAACAATACCACCCTTTTACTGCAAGCCTATCTAACATCTGATCTATGAAGGGCATAGGAAAGTGGTCCTTCTCAGTCCATGCATTCAACTTCCAGTAATCCATACAAACTCTCCATCTGGTCACTGGGTTCATTGGAACAAGCTCATTTTTCTCATTAGGGACCATTTTCATTCCCCCCCCCTCCTTTTGGGCACACACTGAACAGGGCATACCCAACTACAATCTACAATAGGATATATGACTCTCGCATCCAACCACTTAATAATCTCCTTTTTAACTACCTCTTGCATAGGTGGATTCGAACGTCTTTGGTGCTCAATACTTGCCCAATAATAATAGGCACCTCAAAATCCACCTCACAGTCAAGAATTACAAAATTGTTCAAAAATATAAATTACTCCACCTTCACCAACACATCGTGGAGTATCCCAATAGGCCTCTTCACCGTTAGATCGGCCATCAGTAACTGCATCGCAGTGGGCTTAGGGTTATACAAACCCAACTTCTACTAAATAGAGAGAGGCATGGGATTTATGCTTGCACCAAGATCACATAGTGCTTTAGCAAAGTGTAACAACCAAATGATACATGGAATAGTGAAAGCGCCCGTATCTTCTTTCTTTTGCATAATAGACCTTGTAGCAATAGCACTACAATGTTGCATTCGGTCATCATCCTCAAAACTTACCGATCTCTTCTTAGTAACCATATCTTTCATAAACTTGGCATAACCAGGCATTTGTTCAAGAGCTTCTATCAAAGGGAATTAATGGAAAGTTGTTTCAACATAGGAATAAAGCGTTGGTATTTACCATCCTCAGTCTTCGTCACCAATGTTTGAGGGAATGGTGGTGGTGGTCTAGGAATGGGGATCACCTTTTGGGGTATATCTACTTTTTTCACTGCTTTATCTACCAACTCACCATTATCTTCCACTACGTCATCATATTTTCTCACCTCATCTTCAACTACAGACGGCATAGGTGGATCAATGGTTTGCTTACCCCCTCGAGAAGTGACTTCCATACAATGTCCATAATTTTTAGAATTTTGGACAGTATTGCTAGGAAGAGTACTCGCTTGACGTGGGTTCACAGTAGTAGACAATTGGTCTATTTGCAACTCAAGATGCTTGATTGAGATTGCATGTGCATCCACCTTTAGCCCAATATTAGCCAAATCACCTCTCAACTCTTTGGCGTTCTCATCACTAGCATAAAACTTTCTCATCATCTTTTGCAACATATCTTCAACTCGCGCCTACTACCTCCACCATCCCTAGGAGCAACTTCCCGATTTTAAGGCGGAACATAGGGCCCACTTCGATCATTTCTTTTACTATAGTTATCCCGATTGAAGTTGTTGTCGTAGTTTTAGTACCCATCTCAAACATAATGTCCCTCTCTATTGTAATTACCATAGTTCCGACCTTGGTTTCCTTGACCTTGGCACTAATTCTTCTAATTGAAGTCTTGGGCGTTTGGTTAGAGACCCCCCCCCCCCCGTCTGCTCATTCATTGCATAAGAATCCTCTTTATAGTAGTAGTCATCTGAATTGGTGATATTAACATTGCCCCTATAAAACTCTTAAGGGCGTGCGGCAGGAGGTTGTCACCTCAAAGCACCATCAACAAGGTTTTCCACAATCACTTGGTTGTGAGCATCGACCAGCGGAGGAAGTTGACGGTTGATCCCATCACCTAGATTTGCGAGATTCTGTTGATCATTCATTCTGCAGAATGTACGGTTCAATTCAGGATCAAGTGGATGTATTGGTTCTCCTCGACTCCGTGTACTTGTCATACACAAGAGCTAGACCTGAAAGACACAAAAACAAAGAAGAAAAATAAAATTAGGAAATTGTTGGATAAAATTCAGTAATTGATTTAAAGTTAATCTAAAAAACACTTTCTCCAGTAGTGGCGCCAAAATTTGATACTCTCAAATTACACTTTCCTAAAGAAGTATAAGTGGTCATATCAATAAAGAACCCAACTATTAGGTTGGGGTCGATCCTATGAGAAAAATGATTTAAACTTAAATTTAATGTACGATTACCTCTTTTTAGTCAATTCCTTTCCAAAAACTAATAATTAAAGGGGGGTTTTGTGAAACAAAAGTGTAGCAATGTTGTGAAATCAAACAAGTAGCAAAGTGAATTATTGGTGTTTATCAAGTTGTGAGAGAAACTAGGGTATAAGTGTTCCCCAAAGGTTCATAACGCCATAATCCTAGCTATAACAATTTCTTCCTAGTGTTTTTCATGCAAAGTGATAAGTTATGTATCTTTAAATTCTTGGTCCAACATTTAGAGAATTTCACTTCGTACCTTGATCCAGCTACGTGTGTCTAAGTTACTAACCCTTACTTTTACTTCATATTAAGCATTATATTCGATGTTTGACTTAGTTATTACTTTGCAACAATGAAACTATCCTATTAGATAGCATCCACTAAATCTATGTCGATAAATTCTTTTCCTATTAAATACCCCTTTGGTCCGGCAAGTAGCAATATGGCGAATTCTAACGCATGCACTCATTAAAAAGACTTCTAGACAAAAGAATTATCGATGCATGCAATAACCTATTTGAGAATTTTTATTTAGCTAGGTTTATTTTGTTAATCACCCATGATTCTAACAAGCCTAGTTGTGGATTTAGTTACTCATTCTTAGAAGAACACAATTCATAATTGATAAATAATAAATCATGAACTTACTTTGACAAATTTGATGAAAATCCAGAAATTCAGCTTGAAATCACACAATTATCTTGAAAACCAAATCCGGAAATTTGAATTAATTGCAAATCGTATCTCCGAGAACAAAAGTATAAAATTGGTAAAAGAATCCAACCCCAAAAATGAGGGTTTTCACCCTATTTATAATTAAAAGAGTCCTAAACTAAAAGGAGTTCAAATAAGGAAAGTTTGTCCAAGATGCGTCTTCAATCGATGACCCCCATAGATGGTCCATCGATGAAATGACGGACCGTCGACTACCTCCGTCGATCCATACTTAGCATGTTTTAAAAGCATGCACTTTGAATCATCTCTAATCCAATTGTCGGACCAACAACATGGTCTATCGATTCATCTACGGTCCGTCGATGCTTCTCGCCGTTCCATACTTAGTTTTTTCTTCAACACTGGGTACTGGGACATTTTCTTATCACATCGACGATTTTCCAAGATGGTTCGTCGATCATTCGACAGACTGTCGATCCTTTCGTAGGCCCAAACTTAGTCAGAATTCTCCGAGTTGCCTCCAGATGCATAAACCTCCAATTGACGTTCACCACCTATGGTTCGTTGGTGATATAACAGGTCGTCGATGGCCTTCGTGGCTCGAATCTGCACTTCACTTCCACAACCTTCTGCGTTCAGTTTTGGACAACTTTCCTGCAAAACAAAGACAAAAACATATTAAAATTACTACAAAAACTCTTTAGACACACACCGATCTTAAGGAAAATGCATATTGTGAACCCACTTTACATCAAAATGTTTAATATGGACTCTTGAAAATTTAAGAAACATTTCCTTTGACTTACTTCTTAACTCTTAACTTACTTGATGCTTAACTTCTTGGACTTTGATCTTAACATTCCTTGAATAGGATTATGGATTAAGGGTTATGATTTGTGTTCTTTGATTATTTCTAGGTGTTTAGAAGATCATTCGAAGTAATTAGAATCATTGGAAGGTGTTAATCTACCTTAGGAAGACTTTAAAAGGCTAAACTACAAAAATTGGGCGAAAAATGTCAATCAAGGCGCGTTAAGGGTGCGCCATCCTCATTTGACTAAGGCTTGCTTGTGGCGCACAGTGGCGCGCTGCATTAGGCGCCAAGTGACTGAGGCCGGTTTATGGCACAGTGCAACCACAGCGCATATGGATTCCCCCTGTGCATCTGATGAATTTTTCAACTAGATTTTCATCTCCAAACCTCCCTAATTATTTCACCAAATACTTGGGACTTATGGTACCCTTAATACCCACAGGGTCAACTCAGAAACAACCTAGAGAAACAAGAATCGAACAACAATAGACATCAAAAAATTCAATCAATGAGAATTAGACATTTTTCTTCAAGAACTTCACCTTTTAACATGTAAACAACTCATAAACCTATGAATTGAAACAAATTGGTATGTGGGTGAACCAACCCAACACAAAACATCTCAGATACTTTGATAGGGATCACCCCCGACTAAATCCACTCGAAGTTCTTGACGTTCTTGGAGAATTATTGACTTTTCTCCCTTCTCTTCTTCTTTTCTCTCTTCTCCAAGCTCTAAGCGTGTATGTGATTTTCCAAAACTGACTCAAGGCTTATTTTTACCATTAATAAACACTTCAAACGAATTTAAAAAATAAGTGGCTAAAAGACTAGTTTTCCCTTTGATAAATCCGAAATTGGACATTTTTCAATAGGAAAATCTCCCTCATATGATATCGAAAATGGGAAAATTTGGCGGTATTGGATAGATATCCAACCATATCAAGAACTACCTCTAACTCATCCTGAGATAGGAGTTATGGCCATTTGAAAATGACCAAAACTTACTTTCTTACCTTAGACAAATTTTCCAGATTTCTCCTTTTCTTTCCAAAACGAATATTGTTAGTTTATTAGTCATTTCAAGTTTAGAGATGTTACAGAATATATATTAGTAGGACCCTCCTAAAAATGAGAATTGAAGTAGCAGGACCCTCCTAAACAATAGGAATTAAATTAGCAGGACAGTCCTAAACAATGAAGAATTAGATTAGTAGGACCCTCCTAGACAATTTGAATTAGATTGCTAAAAATAAAGAAATCGCTGTTGGGGCAGCGATTTTGTAAAAAAAATTCTATAAATCGCAGCGATAAAAAAATCAGATTTTACAAAATCGCTGCATAGACAGCGATTTTGCTTTTTCGGTGGGGTAAGTCGTTGTTGGTGAAGCGATTTTACCATTTTGGTTAATATAAAATATTTTATATACCGTTTTGAAATTTTTGTTAATATTTTGTATCCTTTAGGCTCCGGACTCTATTATATCATATCATATTATATTATAATCTAACCTATCACCCCACCTCCCTGCCAATTACCACAACCCCCCAATTAACCCTATTTTACCTGCACTATCCCACCCCATAATACACCTTAGTATCCCACTCCACTCACACGTGAAAAACAATAGACACACAAAAATAAAATACACACACAACACATACTGGTACACCCCCTATAAATACTACGACATCACATAACAAAAAACACGGGAAAAAGGAGAAAAAATAAAAAGAAAGATCAATACACACACGAAGAAAAAACACATTCCACGGAAAAATAAAAAATCACTCCCACCATTGTCAATTCAACAATATATATTTACATTACTCCAGTACTACTAGAACACCCACGACATCAAATACATTTTTTTTTAGTTGAACGGCCCTTGAGGTGGGTTAGGGGCTTAGCAACACCCCCAGGTCTTAACATTTATAAAGTCAAAAATACATGAAGGGGGACTTAATACCTTATCTTCTATCAATTGTTGGTTATAATTGACTTATTTTCTAAGATTTGGTCAATTTAACTTTTATACAATTTGATGCAAACTATAGAATTAAAGCCTAGAGAGGACTCCTCCCTTAACACAATATTCTAAGAAAGCATAAATAAGGGAGACTCTCCCTTTACATGATTATAAACAAGGGAAAATAAATCTACTAACTATAACTAGCTAACGAAATGTTCAAATGTCATTTGATGATTTACAAAAACCAAACAGCCTTAGAATCATTCTATGGAGGAAACTTGATTCTTTTTATCTTCCTTCTTCTAAAATTTCGTATGCCCATCTTCTCCAACATGTAACTTCCTCGAATAGCTCCCTTTATTTGATGTGAAGTATAAAAATGTTAAGGGATATCCATTGTATGACTCCATTTGGCTAACAAGTCAGCCGTACTGTTGGCTTCTCTATAAATGTGTGTGCAATGAAAATACTCCAATTTGCTTTGTATTTGTAAAATTTGCTGGACTGATTGTTGGCATCTCCAAGGTGTGCTGGCTGTGTTGTTGATCCATTTGCATAGCAATTGTGAATCCACCTCCAACTCAAGTCTTTTGTAGACATGTTGTTGACAGCACTCCAATCCATATAATGTTGCCTTTAACTCTGCCATGTTATTAGTACCAAAGCCAAAAGGAAATGAAAATGCATAAATGATCTTACCTTGGTGATCCCTAAGGATTCCACCACCATTAATCTTACTTGTATCTTGTATGGCACTGCCATCAGTATTCTATTTATATATACCTTCCTTAGGTTTATTCCAGCTTACCATAATAATTTTATATTGTTGCTAACACTGCTCAGCAATCTTGATCAAGTGATCCAAGCTAGACTGCCATGGAATATTAGGAAATACTAGCCTAGTAACCTGCATAATGTCCTTGAATATACCATACTTCACCCTTTTGATACTAGATTTTTTATCTCCATATTTCACCCCACACTTGTTTTTCCATAGATTCCAACACATAAAGTTAGGAAAAATTTGCATAAGAAGCGTATGTACCTCATTGATTGTAGTCTGGTTCCTCCAATGCATGAGTTGGCTTCTTATATTTGTATGTAGCTGAATTACACCTAGTTTAGCAGCATGATATTCCCAAATAAAGTTGGCAAAATTTCCAGTAAGTAATATGTGGTTAATGTCATCTTTTCCTTGCTTATAACAACAATAACAATCTTCTGCAGGTCTTCCAAACTTCTGTAAACTTTTATTAGTTTGAAGTTTACCCTGTAATGCTCTCCAAATAAAGAAGGCAATTTTAAATGGAATCTGTTTATGCCAAATAATATTATAAATAGGATCAATATTCTTCTTCTTTCTGATCATATCCCATGCAGAAGAAATAGAGAATTTGCCATCTTCCTCAGGTATCCATATAGCAGTATCTTCCACTCCTTCTTGATAGTTTATTGTTGTTTGCAAAATATGAGGAATCAATAAAGGTTGCACCTGATGCCTAATGTACCCTTCATTCCATGTACCATTTGTGAAAAACTCAGCCACAACACTGTTATTCAAACTTGAGATATTGCCACAATAATTAGCAATAGCTCCATTGCCTAGCCAATTATCCCACCAAAATTTTGAAATTCCTTATTTAATATTCCATCTAATATGAGGTTCCACTTTAGGTCTATTTCTTGTCAAATATCTCCATACCAAAGAATCACCTGTGTCATACTTCTTAGCAACTGGATTTGCCCTTTGACAATACTTGGCCTTTAAAAACTGACTCCACAAAGATCCCTTTGTTCTGAATTCCCACCAGTGTTTGTACTGAAAAGCCTTACAAACATCATCTAACAATCTTACCCCAATACCACCCTCCATAGTTGGATAATCCAAAGTATTCCAAGAAGCCCAGTGATACTTTTTACCATCCTTATCCACCCCCCAGAAAAAAGCTGCAATTTCTCTCTTAATATACATAAGTGTAGTCTTAGGAGGAGACATAGCAGCTAGTATGTGAATAGGCATAGCTTGTAATACATGTTTCACTAGAGTTACTTTTCCTCCATAATTTAATATTTTTGATTGCCAGCCTGATATCCTTTTAATAACCTTTTCTACAACCTCTGAAAAGTAAATGATTCTTTGTCCACCAATGTATAAAGGACATCCTAAGTAATGTATAGGACTGTTCTTCATACAAAAACTAGTTACCAACTTGATGTCACCAATAATATATTGGCTAGTCTTAGAAGTGACCATGAAAAAGCTTTTATCCTTATTCACTTTCTGATCAGACACTTTTTCATAATCCTCTATAATCCTCATTATAAGATTTAAAGATCTTCTATCAGTGGACGTAAAAATAATGATATCATCAGCAAAACTAAGATGATTAATTTGAGGCCCTTTCTTCTCCATGCTGAAACCTCTATATAAATGATTGTGATGAACTAAATTTAGATTCCTTGACAGAACTTCAGCCCCAATAATAAAGAGAGCTGGAGATAGAGGGTCTCCCTGCTTAAGACCCCTTGTAGAATGAAAAAATCTATGCCTTTTGCCATTAATCACCACAGAATACCAATTATTACTCATAATTCTCCAACCTCTATCAATAAATACTTCACGAAACCCCATTTTTCTGAGAACTATACAAGTATATGCCCATGAAACTCTGTCATAGGCTTTGACCATATCCAATTTAATGACAGCATTCCTTCCTTCTTTAGGTAATTTAATACCATGAATAACCTCTTGAGCCAACAAGATATTTTATAAAATGCTCCTTCCTTTCACAAAACCAGACTGATTGGCTGATATAATGTAAGGAAGAATAGAAGCCATCCAAGTGCTCAAAATCTTGGAAATAATTTTATTAGTAAAATTACTAAGGCTGACAGGTCAATAATCTTTAAGTTTGTTGAGATGATCAATCTTAGGAAGCAATACTAGACAAGCATGAGTCATATATCTAGGCATAACATTACCATTAAAAAAGGAAGATACTGCAGCCAACATGTCCTCTTGAATAATATCAAAACACACTTGGTAGAACTTACCACCAATACCATCAGGACCTGGGGCAGAGTTGGGATTCATACTCATTATAATGTTCTTCAACTCTTCCACAGTAGGCATTTTGTCCAAAACAGAATTTTGTTCAAAAGTAATCAACTCAGGAATACCTTGTAACAACTCTTCCTTAATCCTCTCAGTATTTCCAGTAAAAATAGTTTGATAGTAATCACAAGCTTCCTTAGCCACATTCTCTTCACCTTGAATCCATACTCCACTTTCATTCATAATGTTATGTATAATCATCTTATTCCTTCTTCCTCTAATCACTGCATGAAAGTACTTAGAATTTGCATCACCCTCTTTTAACCATTGAAGTTGAGCTTTTTGTTGAAGAATAGCATATTCCAATTTCAAGTACTTAATATAATTAGCTTTAGTTTCACTAAGCTTCTCTCTGTTTTCATTACTATTATCCCTGATCAAATCTTCTTCAGCCCTGTTAACCACTTCCTCATACTGTTTAACCCTTTCAAATACATCACCATATTCAGCTTTTGACCAACACCTTAAAGTTTTTGTTAATCTTCTCAATTTTGTATGTAATATCCACATAGGATCACCCTTAACCTGTTTTTTCCAACACTTTTCCACAGTTGGTATGAAAGAATTCATTATCAGTCCAATAATTGAGAAACTTAAAGTACTTAATAACAGTGGACTGAGTATTATTCATTTCCAACAATAATGGACAGTGATCTGATCCAACTGAAGGAAGATGAGTAATATTACTTTGAGGCATCTTGTCCAACCAATTGTCATTAACCATACCCCTATCCAATCTTTTCCACATTCTATCACCATTTTTTCTGTGATTACACCATGTATAATTTTGACCATTGTACCCCATATCCACCAAACCACAAGCTTCAATAATACTAATAAACTCCAAACATTTATTAATATTATAATCTCTACCCCCCAGCTTCTCCTGTGTAGAGGATATCACATTGAAGTCCCCAATAGTGCACCAAGGATAACTAGTGTTAGACCATTTAGGCATACTATCCCACAATGGCTTTCTCAGGTGTTCCTTACACTTAGCATAGACAAAAAGTAATAATGAACTTTTCACAACACTCCTCATGATTGATTTCACAGGTAATTTGCTGCTGATCACTTTCCAAAATACTACAAGTAACTTCATTCGACCAAAATAACCAAATTTTGTTATTTGGATTACTATAACCACAGTTCATTAGCATCTGCATTCTATAAGATTCTAGATGAGACAAGTTAGAAAAGGTCTCTAATACAGCAATCATGGACAAGTTATGCATCTTCCTTAAATTGATCAATCTTTCAAGAGCACCAAATGTATTGATGCTCCTAGCATTCCAACACAACATTTTAAGCATCAAAAACCTCTACTTCTAGCCCTAGTATTAGGTTTACTAAAACTAGTATTTTTATTCTGTTTCAACATTTTTCTTCCTCTAGGAGAAAGGCCTTGTTTGCTAGTGACATCCCTAATTTCATCTATATTAGAGGTCTGTAACAAAGGGCCTTTTTGAACTTGGTAAGAAGTATCTATATCCTCCCCTAGATTTCTTCCTTCCCCTAAGGATTGAGAATCCACATCATCCTCATCCTCAGAGTCAGGTTCCTTATACTCATCAAGATTATCTCTTGAAGGAATACTAGGATCATTTCCAGTGTTAGGATTACTATTCTTTTTACTAGTATGTTGGGGGTTATTAAGCTGTAATTTATCAGGGGGTACTTTATCATGTACAGAATCCTGATCATCCATTTTCCCTTTTCCTTTAGAATTTTTAGAATGATTAACTCTGTTATTCTCCTGACAACTTCCATCCACACCTCGAACAGCTACACCAGCAGTATTAACAACAGTAATAGCAGCAGGATCATTAACAGTATTAAGGGTTGTAGGGTTGGGGAGCATTGAGTCAATACCTGAGTTGTTTAGTGTCTCTTGTTGATAATCAATTTGTTCCTTACTTTGTTCCTGATTGCTTCTTCTTTGTTTTGTAATTCTTGGATCACTATGATCATAAATTCATACATTCTGTGAATGACCTTGTGATGGCCTAGTTGCAGTCTCCATACTTTGAGGCCTTTGTTGTTGTATTATATCAGTATGGCCCTCCAATCCACTTCCATAATCTGCACATTCCTACAATTCCAGGTCAATATATGTATTTTGTGTAGGGATGGAAACAATACCTGTTTGAACTTGGGGCTGTGGAGCCACAGCTTTGTCTGTATTAAATCTCACTTGCTGATTGCCAGTCCTTCTTCTTTGTGTGTTCCATTCTTCTTGAAGCCTTTGAGATTGATAGTCATTTGTTTGTTGCCTTTGTTGGTTATGCTCTATCTCCCTTCTACCTGTTTCTAAGGTCTTAGTAATCTGAATATCCTCATTATTGTTGAGAGTACTGTCTTGCCTATTCTTGTTTTTCTCCAGCTCTTTTCTTTGTTTATTTTCTACATCCCTTTTCTTAATAATGAAGTCTGATTCCTTATGCCTTTGATGCTTGCAATAAAAGCAGTAGTCTGGTATGCTGTCATACTCAATCTTTTGCCACCTCCCATCTGTTATGTCCTCACCAATGTATCCCGTCCATATGTGGGGAGGCCTGTCTCTAGTTAAATCCACTTGAACTTTAACTCTAGCTTGGCTGCCCCTAGTTTTGTTAATAGATGTTGAATCCAGATATAACACTCTACCAATTGGGGACAACAGGCTGGTAATAAACTCTTTGTTGTAGCAATGCCAAGACAATTCAGGTAATGATATCCATATTGGGACAAGAGGGGTTTCTTCCTCAGGTTTAAAGTTTGGAGTCCAAGCTTGTATTCTCATGACTTGGCTAACTATTGTCATTCTTTGCTTGGTCCAAAACATATTATAATCCAACTCATTGTCTTGGTCTATGTACACATGCCTAGAATTAAAATGTGCTATTTTAACCCCCCCCCCAGACAGTTGAGTATGAAGAATGAAATTCTTCCTTATTAACTCCACTCTAGGCATGGTATAGATGAACTTTCCAATCAAAGTAAACTTGCAAGTCGAAGCCAAGTCTTTCACTACTTAATCCTTAACATATAACACAGCTGGAAGACCTTGCTTAGTAGTTATCTTAGGCTCAGTCAGTCTAATACTAACATCCTTCTTAGATTGGTTAAATCTCAATCTATCTGCGTATGTTTGGATCACTGTATAAGGGGCTGACTCTTGTGTTTGATCTTTTTTACCTAATTTATCATAATTGGCTAAGGGAGGATCATTTTTGTCAGCCATATTCCTGTTGATATTTCGATCAAAGTTGCTAGAGATTTTAGGAAAATTGTTATGATAATTTTGAGTTCTAGCAGGCTCCACATGCATTCTACCAGTTTCTTGCACACGACTGTCAAAATTGGCATTATTGATAATAGGATTACCTTGATTAGTTCCTTGTTTCCTGAGTAAATCAGTTGTATTCCCAGTTCTTTGGCTAGGTTGATTAGGATGGACTGCTGCTGATCTCGAAATAGGATTTCTTGTATTCGTATTGGCAATTTGAAGTTGTTGTTGGTATATTTCTGTTTCCTTGTTCGAATGATCAATATGATATTAAGAGTGAAGGTTAGGATTACCTTGTGGATCACCATCTCGACTTCCCTGTTCATGAACATTTTTCTGCGATTCCACTATTACAGCTTCTTGTCGAGAATCAATATTATGAACTCCCCTGTTTTCCCCTCCTTGTTGAATATTAAGATTCATTCCTTGTGAGGATTCCCCATTAACTGATTCATGTCGCGAACGTTCCAATCGATTTATATCAGAACTCGATTGCGCCGCCTCCATCGAACTCAACTTCACCGATTCAATCGCTTGCGATTTCGCCACCGCCATCGAACTCGATTTCGCCGCCTCAATCTCCTGTAGTTTCTCCTCCCCTATCACCTGCGACTCACCTCTTACCAATTCTTGAAAATTATCCATCCTTTGTATGTCGCTTACCTGTCCACTCAGATTTTGATCCCTTTCACCATTGTAATGAAACTCATCCATCTCCGCCTCTATAGTCGCGACTTGGATCGCCTCTTCCCTCAAGCGCGAAGAGGTAGATGATGATCCTTCCGTCATTTCGTTAATTTTTGAATGAACATTCGATTCCTCCACTCCTAACAACGGATCTGGAGGTCGAAATCGCTTATCCACCGGATTACCAACCATTCCAGATGTAGATTTCAGATTCAATTAGCCGATTAGCTAATGCACAACCTTGCGATTCTTGAGAGAATTCTAGAGAGAGAAAATTTTAGAGAGAGAAAATTTCCGTGAAATGAAAAAGCGATACAAATACATTGGAAGTTTTACTTTTGTGGTTTTGAGTTCCTGATTCCTATTGTGGTCTGATACGCTCAAACTTACTTCTCAAAATGAGAAGTAAAGCGGTCGCGTCAAGTAAATAACCCAACTAGTGAGGTTGGGATCGTTCCCACGAGGAAAATAGTCTAGACTTAACTTCAAGTTGTTATTACTATGGTTCGGTTGATGACTTCCTTAGAAAGTAAAAACATAAAAAAGGGGGTTCTATCTCTAAATAAGTGAAAATAAACAACGAACTTGAAAGAGACACTTAACAGCTTTTAATTTTGTGTTTTAATCAATTAATCAAAGTAACTAGGGTTTACGTGTTCCCCACAGGTTCATAACTTGATAATTCTAACTATAACAATTCTTTCCTAGTATCTTGCATGCAAAGTGATAAGTCATGTATTTCTAAATCCTTGGTCCGGCATCAAGAAAATCTCACTCCGCGGCTTGGTCCGGTTACGTGTGTTGCTTTCCTAACCCTTATCTTTACCTCATATTAAGCATCGTATTCGATATTTGACTAAGTTATTACCTTGTACCAATCAATACTAGCCTATTAGATAGTATACACTAAATCTATGTTAATAATTCTTTTCCTATTATCTACCTCCTTGGTCCGGCAAGTAGCATTAAGGCGAGTTCTAATGTTGATCATCCATTAAAAAGACTTCTAAGCGAAAGAATTATTAATACATGCAAGACACTAATCAAGAATTGTTATTTTAGTTAGGGTTTATCTCATTATTTTCCTATGGTTCCCACAACCCTAGTTATGGAGTTTAATTACTCAATAGCCATAAACACAATATTCAAATATGTTAAATAAGAATTCATGTACTTACTTCAATGAGAAAGAATAAAGTCCGAAAATTTGCTTGATTAATCACCAAAAATCACTTGTAAGAATCTCCAAAAATTACACACTAATACACAAAGTCTAATAATATGATGTCTAATCTAGTAGAGTCTAACTTCAAAAATGAGGTTTTTCGAAATATTTATAGAAAATAAAAACCTAACTAAACAAGGATTCTAATTACTGGAAATCTGCCAAAATGCGGCTGAGTCGACGGACCACGCGACGGACCGTCGTGGACTCCGTCGTCCCATACTTGGTGCAATTTCTTCTGCTGCTTTCTTTATTCCCCTCGATGGCAAGTGTAACGTACCGTCATAGGAACAACGGTCCGTCAAGGGTCTTCGTTTCAAAATACTTCAACTCTTGGAATCTGGGTACTGGGATCACTTCTCTGATCTTCACGATGAACCTGCAGGACGG